CATTATTATCCCTTCGTATAATATTCGGCTATTTGTGAACATTTTAAATAAAAATGGGCATCTTATAATAAATTGGGTAAAAATTAGGCCTTATACATTTTAAATTTATGGGCCTTATGTGACAATTCTATTTTAAATTGGACCTTATGTGACTATTCCTTTTTATTGGGCCTATATTGACAATAATAGTAACAATGTGAGATTTTGACACTTTTAGTAAAAACCGATTATATTTTTTATCACCTATGGCTTGTAGTCAACATATGTCACAACTGACATTTTAGGTAGGAAATTTTGTGATTATGTAAATGTCATCTATGATAATATTTGTAACTCTAACTTGATATCATGCACAATGTTTATTCTATGACAACAAACTCAGTCAAGATCCATAATTTAAGTTCAAAAATCTATGCAAAACCTTTCAAGAAATCAATTGGGAGTTGAAAACCCTAAAAATCCTGGTTCAAGTTCTCTATGGACTAGGATTTTCTTATTGGGCCTAACGGACCAATAAGCATTCAATTCGACTATGTTGGGTACATAAACCCTAATTGGGTTCTAAATGGACCCACATTCATAAAACTTAACATATTGGGCCATGTGGACCTAAAATGGTTCATATTATTCCTATTGGGCCAAGTTGGGCCATAACAACTCCAATCACCCTAATGGGCCATAAACTCCATTTCTTTTACTCAGTTGGGCGGAAAACTTCCTAAGGGACTTTTGTTGGGCCGTTAACACTCCTAAAGGCCCAATGGGCCAAGAACCTTCACTATGGGCCTCATTAACTCAAGCCAAATCAAGTAAAGGCCAAAATCTTCTCAATTTCCTTTCTCCTAGCCTAATTCTTGGACCATGTGTAAAAAAAGAGATAAAAAAGATTAAGGGAGGATTAAAGAGAAGATGACAACTCAAGATTACCCACCATGCATCTAAGTATTACTCCCCATGCATCCATGAAAAAATATCATGTATCTAGGAAACTCCTATTATTCCCTTCATATGTCAAACCCCTCCTTCTTCTCTCCTCTCATCCTCTCGGCCTAAAGAAACACACACACTTGCACTTTTAAACCCTCTCAAAAATCATCTCAAAAACTCTTCCTTCTCTTATCAAAATTTTGAGATTTTGGGTGCTTTCAAGAGGATTCTTCACCAATATCACCATCACTGGTAAGTTTTTGCTTAGATCCATGGTTTAGCTTCTTGATTTCTTCAAAAATCTCCTCCTAACTCATACCATTTTGTGAATCATGCATCTTAGAGCCATCTAAGTTCTAAAGTTCTTCAAGAAGCTTGCTAGGACCAAAATCTCTTCACATCTTCACCAAAAACTAAGAAAAAGAAGCAAATGTGAGTTCATACCCCCTTGTTTTCAATTTCTATATGTTTTTTTTTGGTGGAGAATACAAGTATTTATGTGTAGATCTATGTATTTATGCTTGTTATGTGTGATTTTCTTTGTTTATGTTATGAATATGTGATGAAACTTGATAAATCTTGAAAACTTTAACTAAAAATGGGTAAGATTCATAAACTAAATACTTTAGTAATTATAATACAAAGGATAAAAGTGTTATACATGTATAAAATGTGAAAAGTAAAACAAAAATCTTGTATAAGGATCATTCTTGACAAATGAACAAAAGTTTGAGATAATAGTGACACTTTCGGTTTTATAAGGATCAAAAAGGTCACATTTGTTTAAAATGAGTTTTTATAATAATTATACTTTTCAAAGGGCCAAAAGTGTAAAATTTAGCATTATGGCCCTTAATTTGGGCCTTACGACTTTTTGTGCCCAAATTGCAAAAATGTCAATTTTTATGGATTAAAATGTTAATTTGATATAAATGGGGCCGAAAATGTCATTTTATTTAAATAAGGGTTGAAAATGTAACTTTCTGCAAAGATGGGTTTAAAATGTCAATATATGTATTTTTGGGCCAAATCCGTCAATGATTAAACATTTGGGCTGAAAATTTAAATTTTTATAAATGAATGGGCTAAAATGTTATTTTTAATTATAATAGACCAAAAATGACATTTTATGTAAGAACATGCCTTTAAGTGTTCAAATTTGTTCTTAAGGTAGCTGAAGTGAAATTTTTATTAAAAATGAGTTTAAATTATAGAATTTTGAAGTAAAAATATCATTTTAACAAAACACTAGACTTTTTATAACATTATGGATTAATGTTTTGTCTAAAAGATCTATACTATAACAAACAAACGAAATACAACAACGGTACGACTATTCGGCCTTGTATTCACTATACAGGCTTATTGGGCCTTCGTGATCCATTTGCATATTTATTGGGTCCAATATAATCATTTCATGTCTATTGGGCCTTCGTGATCCAATTACATGCCTAATGGGCCTAAATTAGCCTTACATGTTATTGGGCCTTAGTGGCCTATTTACATGCTAATTTAGTATGGAAAAATTCATCATATGCTTAATGGGCTTTAACGTGTCCATTTGCATACTATCAAGCCTAGAAATAATTTACATGTCTAATGGGCCACAACTATCATTCTTCATGTTTGTTGGGTCGTATTTTTTCACATTCAAGTATCATCTGGTGTTTGTAAATCTAAATACATATAACATTATAAATATTCATGTGGCAATAATTGGGATCTAGTGAGACTTGTCGGTTGACACTATTGAGTGTATGCTCATAGCCTGTAGTTATAATCAGAGTCTCCTGGAGGGAGAGCGAGAGTTTGTGTATAGATTTGTACGGGGGTGACTCCCCCACACCTGAGTTGTTCGCTACAGTTAGACTAAGTCTGTCTAGGGTAACAAAACCTTGATCAAAACCGATGTTTGGAAAAATGCAAAGATAGGCAAATTATTCATTATCACACATGGTTATAAAGACTTACATATAGATCCATTACAGGAATCAAAGTGCTTAAATCATAATAATACGAAAACAATTCATACGATAATACAAGGACTACAACACTTTTATAAATAAGAAAATATCGGATTTTCCGGGAAAATACTATTATTTATTACCTTCTACTTACAACAGATATAATACAATGATATTTTGGATAGTTATTTATACATGTTTTCTTTACAAGTGGAAATCACACATACATTTATATTTGATCATTACATCATTTTCAGAGAATTTACAGAAAATATCAGATTTTATGGGTTTCACGAACAATACAAATTCTTTTAATCAAACATGCTTATGAACTCACCAACATTATATATGTTGACCATTTTCAAAATAATTTGTATTCTCAGGTAATCGATAAGCTGAAGAATCATCAAGAGTATTTTGGGATTTCTTTTATGCAAATGTCAATCATCGTACAATTTATGTTTTGGAATGTGTAATGTACAACAATGTACTTGTTGTGAACAATACCATTTGTACTATGTAATGTTTGGTGATGGTGTTATGTTTCATATATGTTCATTGTGATGATATTTTAATTTATAGTCACACGAGCCCTCGACCGTTTCCGTCATCTGGTTCGAGGGTGTGACAACATACACCCTAATAACATTATTTATAACGTTAAATAATGAAACTCAATGTTTGCGTAAATTCCGTTAAGGATTTTGTGAGACGCACCTTCACCGTACCTATTTTAGTATACACCTTAAGCCTTGTAGTTATAACTAGAGTCTCTTGGACGGAGAACGAGAGTTTGTGTATATATCTATACCGGGTTGACACCCCACACTTGAGCTGCTCGCTACAGCTAAACAGGCCAATCTAGGGTGACAAATATCTTCTCAGAAACCGACACCCGAAGAACGTCAAGACAGGCACTCCATCATATTAGTATGGTTATAATGACTCACATAGAGAATAACAATATTAAAAATTTACACAATATCTAAGCTTTACTCATGTTACAAAGAACGAACCTATGCATCAGCTATTTTACATCTACTTTCACCTCTCGGATCTTAGGGTTTAAGACCACACTTTTCATATAAAATAAAATACATGATTTTCTAGGAATCACTCACTATACATTCTCAAACAAGGTTAACAAATAATAAACATGCAATTATACATGATTGGAAACGAGACTTACAAAACTATTTTTACAAGAAAACATCGGATTTTCTAGAGACTTACAAACTAGTACAAAGTTTTATACAAACGTGCTTATGAACTCACCAATATTTTTATGTTGACACTTTTCAAATGAATTGGATTCTCAAGAACTAAATGAGTCGGATTCTTTACAGCTATGGATTTTGAATGAATGTTGTATTATTTTTCATCATACAATTGTTATTTTGGGATGTAACTTGTTATGAACAAACACAATATTGTAAAACATGTATGTTGTACTCTTGAATGTATGATAATGATGATGACTATGTTTCGTTTATATACATTGTTATGATATTACAAGATGAAGTCATCCGCCCCCGGACGTTTTCGACGTCCCGGTTCGGTGGTGTGACAAGGTCCAGCTGGGGGCTTCTTTTATACGAATTGGGAAGACCATCCCATTATCAGACACTTTTAATTCCTCAAAAATAATACCAAGAAAAGTGGTCAAAATGAAAACAAAATTCTTATAAACATCATCTCCAAGATCATCATCAAGTTGAACACCGGTACCCCACTTTTCTATAATTTTTCTAAATGTTGGCTTACTCCATGCATGTAAAGGAATTCCTTCAATGTCCACCCACACAATACTGTCTTAAGGCACAAAATTCCTATCCCATCTTTGTTTTTCCATAATCCAATGATCAATGGTCTCACAAGCCATAAAATTCCTAAAATCTTTTGCGATTTAGGTTCGAGTAACACCTGGAGGCCTCTGACATATCAAATATCAAATTCATCAAACCCTTCATCTTGAAAAAGAATTCTGAGATTAGGTAAGGTAGGAAAGTCTCTTGCCTTTGTAAGACAAGATAGATTCTTATTTTGAACAAAAAATCTCCTTTATGCAATTCAATTATCTCATCCCCCAAAAAATTTATTACATTAGTTCTAAAATGACCCTTTAAGCACACTAGCATAAGAGTTTCCATGAGAATCCTGTTTCACAACTTTAGAGGTTATAAAATGAGGAGTCTGTGAAGAACGCTTCTTATCGAATCTTGGCAAGGAAGCAAATAGTTTACAATACCTAAACCAAATACCACAAAGACTGTTAACCATATCATCAAGATTATGAACTCCTTTAAAGCGAACAAATCCTAAACATTTACCCAAAATTGATTTGTTATTAGAGATGAAAAGATCAAATACATTTCCAAAACCTGAACAAGCGTTCCAAACCGATTCAGGAAAATTAGTAACACAGAAAGATTGACGTCCGAACTTATAGTTAGACAATTCATGTAAGGACCAATTTGATGGTTCTTGATACATTCTTTATTACTCTGTTTCCTATTCCAAGAATCATCACCTCTCCATCTATTCTCCATCACTAAATAAGAAATCAAAGAAAATCCAATAAGCAATCTAGAGAACACTGACATAAGAGATCACTGGGGAAGACAAAACCCTACTGGCATTTGACCCACCGTTGTAGGGAATTTGGAAATTCAAAAGAGCATGACATTGTTGGTGTTTTTGTGGTGTGGTAGTTGCAAAATTACAAAATTGTTTTCCGACCACAAAAAAATGGAGTTAATACATCTCTTGATTTTGTGTAAGTTTTAGAATATATACATACATAGATTTTGAGAACACAAGGTTTTAGTAATAGGAAGCCAAATTAAATTGTGTCTTTAAAGATGCAACATTTAAAAATTTAATATGATTTTATATATATGTAGATGATATGATCATATTAAAAACAACAAACGAAATATAAAGACAAGAAAATAAATAAGTATACAATTTTATTTCTCAAATGAATTCTCAGTTCTACCAAATAAGTTAAATGATTCTCATAAATATTTCTCTAATGAATTCCCAGTTTTATGAAAGATGGGAGTCAATTATCTTTCTCTAGCTTAATTCTGTTTCTCTGCATTTCTATTCTCTATTGCAATTCCATTTCTTTGTACCAAACACACATATTTTATATGAGTTGAAGGGTTAGAAGATCTTTCATCTGAGCCATAGAAAATTAACCTGATTGAATATCTTTTTATCGAAGATGAGTAAGTGGGACCGCTTCCTTGTCAACTTAAATTTTTTAGATTTTTAGAGCAATTGTCATACCCAAATGCTCCTAAGAAAAGTTCTGATCAGACCATAACCCCATAATTTTAAAGGTGGAAAAGACCAGGCTTGGGCCTTTACCTTTTAGATTGTTTATCTGTCGATTAGAATACAAGAATTTATGAGATATTGTGTAAACGTTTCGGAGAGATAGTCTCATTCTTCACGATGATAAGTGATAACAAAACCAGTGAGACTAGTAGGAAGTTTTAGAAGCTAAAATATATCATGAAAATGTAGGTAGTTGATAAGAGAAATGAAGAAAATGATTTTGTATTTCAATAAAAAAACTAGTCTTGAGACAGATGAGAAAATGGATGTAGGGATACATGGGGGGGGGGGGGGGGTTTAAGGGAGGGACACAGTAGGCAGCTACATATGGTCTAATATTTTTTGAGGCCAATCTGTTTTTTATTGTATTATATGTATATTTTCATTTGAAAATAAAAAAAATTATAATAGCGATAAGAGTTCTTTTTTCTAGCTCGTCCAGGGCATTTGAGGAATACTTAAATCCTTAGGACCAACCCTATGGGGATAGTTTCTTCGGTTGAGATTTTTGAACATGTTAGAGTCCTCCAAAGTCTTTTTGGAGATTAAGTAAAGGAGATTTATGACAAGGCTAAACATTTATGAATAATTAAATGGTTCATAGGGACAGAAACACAAAGATGTATCATGTTGTTTAGAAGAAGTGAAGAAAAAAAATGCTATAGCAAGGATCATATCAAGGGGCTTTCGGATTTCAAACCTAAAGAAGATTAAAGACAAGTTTGTTTATGTCCATAGAAAACATTTTTAAAAGGAGGGTGGTTTGAAGTCGATTCAAAGTCCATTTGGTTTTAAACGATTATTTTAGTGGAATCAGATTAGAACCAAAATCCCATTTTCTAAAGAAGAAACCAAGTTAGTCATATAGGTGTGCAGGTCATCAAAGTCGTCGGGTCCAGAGGGGTACTCTACAAGAAAATTAGAAAATTTTAGAGGTTTATCGGGGATGTGGTTGATGAAGAAGTGAAGTAATATGAAAATAAGATGTTCACTTCTAAAGGAAAGAATTGCTCATTTATCTCTTTGATTATGGAGGTTTCGTACTTTAGACATATTAGCCTAATCGACTCGTTGTATAAAATTATTGAAAAAATTATTGTGAACCGTATTAAAGGTGTTGTAGGTTAGGTGGTGAGAAAATCTTTGATTTTCAAAGTTGACATCAAAATGAAGAAGCTTAAACGAGCTCTTAGATTGGTGATAAACGAGCGGCGAAGAAATTCTAGATGGGATGCTCGTGTTGAATCAGCTATTAGCTTGGTGTAAAAAGAAGAAGTTTAAATATTTGATTTTCAAAGCTGACATAGAAAACATGTATGACTCCCTAAGATGGAAATACTTACACTAAACGATATTATTGATAGGATTTGGAAGTTTATGGAAAGATTGGGTCAAGGTATTTCCTCTTTCTTCCTTTACCCTCATCCTTGTGAATGTATCGCCTACAAAAAAGTTTGTCATAAAGAAAGATCATAGATACAATGAGCGACTCACTAACTAACTCTTTATTCTAGCCACAGAAGGCCTTTGTGTATACCCTTTGAACGCTAAGAAAGATTTAGTTTTTGAGGGGATTCACATTAGGGTTGATGGGTTAGATACCTTTCTGAGAACAAGATTCAATGCGCGGACAAGGTTTGAAAACTCAAACCTTGAATTAACTTTTATGTTCAATGTATGCTTCTAATATGTTGGTCCAGTCAAGTCTGGTAAACTAGTCAAAACTTGAATATGATATTCAACAAAATATTCAAGTAAGTAAACCAGAGTAAGAAAAAAGTAAAGAAGATTTAAAGAACAAGTAGAATGTGAGTGAAAGAAATTTAACTTGAAAGAAAGTTGAAATTGATGTGAAGAGAATAATTGCTATTTCTTTATGGTACATAATACATGAAACATCAACTCCTTAAATAGTAAAGGAGAGACATAGTAGAAACCCAAAGGCCAATTGAAGGACTAGATAATACTAAGTGTTTGAAAATTCTGACACTTAAAAGATTTACTGATTTGGTCCTAAGAATTGTTCCACCAACAAAAGACAAAAGGCATTAAGTGCTTGTACATACTCAATCACATAAAAATACTATTCTTAGAAACGACTTCATTTTGGAATTGGATAATCTTTGGAACATCTTCACATCTCAGACTGAAGTTGACTTCATATCTTCTTTGGTTCGGATTGCTAGAGGTTCACTTTTTATGCATTAAAAATCTCCCCTTAAGTGAACTTAGCTATTGGCAACGAGCTTTGGACTTCTAGATACCATTTAAGGTGTTCAATGAACTTATTCGTTACATGCTCAGGATCTTCACTTTTAGCAACATTGGTGATGAACTTTTGAAGGATGTTTGAAGGAACGAGATGTTTTCAAGAAATCAGAAGAATTCTTTTCAGTTGTTTTTCTTCTTAAGATAAACACATTCGAGTTCAGGTTCTTCAATGGGTAATTATACCAAAATTTGAGCTTCAAGTAGTTTATAAGTGATTTTTGCCATCAAATATTATGTTTTGAACAAGTGTGCAAACTCAATGTTGGACATGAAAAATTCTACAACATAGTCCTTAAAGAAGTTTATGGCAACACTATAAGGCCTGGTGCTTAAATGATTAGATTGGAGACCTCGGACGTGAGCAACGATTGTTAGAATGTCATTGGGGTTGATAGATGGAAAGTCTGCATCAGTGGTAGTGATAGTTGCTTCCTTATTCCGAGAGATGTAGTATCTCTATAGTATGCAATTGAGATCAAATTTACTTTGCACCTTGTTTCTAAGACCACCGATCTTGGTGATTCGTTTCCGAGACCACACTTCTTTTTGAGGATGTGCATTAATGGAGTAGAAAGTTCCTAATCTCTCTCAATTTCTCCTAATGATAGTTTGTGGATCATCATTCGGATGAAGAGGAGTGAATTTGATGTAGAATTTTCCATGAGGAGAGATTGGAAGATCAATTTGGTGAGAATCTTGTTTTGGAAGATCGAAGTACATGAAGGGGCAATATCAATGTCGTGAACAATTCTTTCTCGATGGAGAGGAGATACGCCCATCATCAGATTTGGATTGTCTTTTAAGACTTGAATCATGATGCTTTCTTCCAATTCTTGATTTATTTGTTCTTTGGACCAGCCGTTGGAGTTTCTGAATGTTCTTACTGGCCTATTTGGTTCAGAAGCATGTTTCTTCCCTATGTTGTGACAACCCGAAATTTATCCCGTCATTTTAACCTCTTGTTCTGCGCGTTATTAAATTGTCCGTTAACCTTTTGGAATAGGTTAATTAAATTGGAATTTATTATGACTTCATAAGGGTTGAAACAAATCAGAAACACCCTCAATTTTTCCTCTTGAAAAAATCTAGTTTCAACTAGGTAAAATTACGACCGTTTAATCGGGTGCGACCAAAAGCCCCGTTTAACGTCAGTATCGGGTAAGTTTCCACTGAGCCACAAACTTAAACCCTATAAAAGGGTGAATGAACTTCATTTACACCTTTTTCACTCCCTCTTTACTCTCTCTCTCTCTCTCTCTCTATAAAGTTGCTTTCGATCCAAAAACGCCCATTTCGAGCTCCAAAATCGTAGGTAATATATCCTAACTTGTTGTGTAGCTTATTTAAGATGCAAATTTGTGTTTAAGAGATCCATATAGGGTCCAAATCATGTGTCTATGGCCCAAGAACACTCTTGGACCGTAAACACCCATAAGTGGGGTTTTGAAGCCCCAAAACCCTTCTAAATCACTCCTAGGGCTTAGATATGACTTCGGGACTTACACATATGAGCTTAGAACACCAAAACCTTGCATTTTGAGGAGTAAACATGAGTTTACGGCCCAAGAACACTCTTGGACCATAAACCCCTCTTCATGGGCTGTGAACACCTTTTAAGGTGTTAAACTTGCCCGTAAACACCTCCTATGGCCTGGAAAAATGTCTAGAATCAACCACAAGTGATGTAAGGCCTTTAAACATCAATAAAACCAAGGACCTAGGAGTTTATGGCCGTAAACCCCCCAAAGTATTGGTCAATGGGCCGTAAACTCCCATAATGATCCAAATGATGCCCTAACTTCCCCATTTGACTTAGAAAAATGCATAGAACTTTATATCCTTTCATTTAAGACCTTAATGCATGAAGAGAATGACCA